TCTTCTACGGGGACCCCATCTCTTTTCTACTTGACACGCGTTGCCGTTCACTTTCAGACAACCCACCCACCATCACCACATATAGTCAAGGCATCCCATCACTCCAAACCGTACATGACGTTCAATAGATTGCTTCACTTCGTCCGACACAAAGTACTTCGATCCCCTCTTGGGAGAAACTTGAGAGGACGGTTGTAACCAGGGATGTACGCATTAATGGGGTAGTGGTAACCTGGGTCGTTGCCATGGACTAAAAGTAGCAGTTTGTCGACCCGCCGGGGGTTCGATTCCCCCTTAATGCATGAGCCGGACAAGTTGGATATGTCCCGATCTTTCCTTTTCTTTATTGCCAGCGTTGGCTCGTTCTTAATAGAACACACCACCTACTCTGCTGACTCATTCGGTACTCTATCTTGCGAACGTTTACCCACAATACACAGTTTTCTGCAGGGTTTGTGAATTACAATTACAGAATAAACACTCTTCTACATCCAACTTTCACGCTTGCACACCAGAGATCACTTCCAAGCCCTGGAGCTCACACCCCCGCCGCCAACGCCCCCTCCAGCGTCTTCAAACACGTAATCCCACACGCACCCCTCGTCCAATCCTTCACGAGACGATACCTGAATGGGCGCCCACACCCGGGCACGGCGCAGCTCGTGGGACGGGGCGGTCTGCCAGTCGCCTGGTCCTCCTGGGGTACACATATGGAGGGCGGGACGGAAAACGTTATGCGCATCTGAGCCTCTGCTGATGTCGATGTTGTTGCGGAGGGGGAGGACGAGGAGGAGGAGGAAGGTACGCGCATGGTGGAGATCCAGCGGTACATTGTTGGCGGCGGCGGTGGAGGAGGAGGTTCGCGCTCGTTTGGCGGCGTGTCGTCGTCTATGGTATTTCCTTCGTCCGAGTCAGCGTCTGCTGCAGGAGGCACTACGTCTTTGGCGCGTTTCCCCGGTCCGCGAGGACGGGATTGTTTTTTGAGCAGACGGTTGATTGTTTCTGCCTGCGAATAGTTTAGTTCGTGTTATACGGGAATAAGAAAAAGAAACCTTTTCGTCCTCCAACTTTTTTTCGACGAAATTCTTTCTCTTTCTCGCGGTCTCCTCCTTCCTCAGCCTCATTTCCGCCTCCCCAATCAACCTTCCCCTCCCGCGTCCTCTTCCCTTGCCTCGCACACTATCAAGCGACACGTGCGAAGGATCGGCCACGCTAGCCAGCGCAGCTTGTCTCGACGTAAGCGGGTGTTTGGTCTTTGGCTGCTCCTCGTCCTCGTCCTCGTCGTCCTCCGACTCCAGCTCCGCGCTGTCAGATCCCAGCTCCTCGTCCTCGTCTTCGGATTCGACGAGGGGCGTGTCGGTCCGTGAGGCAGGCATTTTGAGCGTGATTTTGAGACGGGAAGGACCAGAGGCAGTGGCTGCGGCTGAGGATATACGTCGTTTGGATTCTACTTTGCCGAGTTCCCCTTCACCCTCGGCGTCCTCGATGTCGTCGCTATCTTCGTCTTCGTCTCCGCTGCCAGCTTGCATGACGGCGGTAGGCGGAGCGCCCACCTCGACTTCCACGTCCACGTCTACATCCATGTCGACGTCACCAGAGTCAGATTCACTCTCGAGGCGAGTACCGCGGTGTAGACGAAGGCGACGGGGAGATACCATGAGGAGAGCGTCTTTGCAGCAAGCAGGTCAGTCAGCGAGAATAAGAATAGCCAGCAAAGCTGTGAATAAGTATCCTATCAACAAGGAAGCACTGAGAAGAGCGATGCTCGGTCTGGTCCGCCAAGTGTCGTTATCATCAATCGCTGACAATATTGATCACAATCGCTGACCAATTCAATTGAAGAACCGTCTGTAAGTGCCGTGATGTGCTCTCGACCACAAAGAGGCGGATAAGGAAGGAGGTTTTTATAAAAAGATGACCAATGCTTTGCGAGTGCATCAAGGGGGAATTGAACCCCCGGCGGGTCGAGTGAACTGCTACTTCCTAGTCCATGGCAACGACCCAGGTTACCACTACCCCATTGATGCATACAATGTCTTCACCACTGCTGCGACACCTGCTGAGAAGTAAACCCGAGTTTACTCTGTACTCTGTGTGTAGTGTAAGTATACACAACGACCTCCGTGGCATCGAAGGCCATCGTGTTCGTTGTACTCTGTCAGTGCTTTTGAAATAAATGCCTTTCCAGGGCCGGTACATCCCATCCAGACTTGGACTTCGGCGCGCCTACATGATCGCAATTTCAGGTTGTCAGTGTTCTTAGCTCGGATGGAACAAGGCACAAGCCCGGAACCAAGTAGTCACAGTTCAAACGGCGGCTTTAAAGAGCTATAAAAATGCAGAAATATCGTAGCTTCTAACGCAACTCAGATAACTGCAAGCTCGAAAAGGGTAGGATATGCAAATTGTCACTTTTTGTATTCTTGACGGACACGAGAGAGATACTGGCAAGGGAAAAAAGTTTTGATTTTATCGACCATCTTTCAAACGTCTCGAGCTCAAGATTAAGGTGTGAATATATTGGTGAAAATGTCCAAATTGACATCCGGGGGACTATCAACTTTCTAAGTGGTGAGAGACTCCGTATCGTAACTTCTGCATGATTACTTGTACTCATACATCTCCATGACTTGGGAAAACGTGGAAGCACCCATGTCTTCCAAAGCCATGGCTTGCTTGACGACCATTGGCTGAGCAATGAATGTCAGAATTGATTCCTTGTGGTAACAGAGACTAGTTCAAGGACACACCGAGGCATGGTCATTGAACGCGATTATAAATGCGCCGACGTAACTCTTCATTTCTTCCAGATCATTTTTGATAATGGGAGGGATACCTCCACGAGGAAGAGTGCGAAGGGCCGGCAGGCGCGCAACTATACCTGTCATGGCAGCCATGAACGTGTCCTTCAGAGGTTGAAGGTCAAGTAGAATCTTCATCCCTTCGTCATCGGAGAATTTGGAAGGCATGATCTTTTCAAACATCAGGTTAGAATACTGAGGAAAGCATACTGAGATACAATTACTAACGCTGATAGCATTTGTAACATTTTTCGCGGCATCATTGAGAGTCATGGCAGAGTTGTGAATGGCCTGTGAAAGGGGTAGGATATGGATCAGGAAAATCGACATGTGTAGTACGAGGAAGATAGTGCAGACCATAGCCTGGTCGACCGTGCCATCACCCAATATGGGGAAAGCATGGATCGTGGCGTTGAAGTTGTCCATGGCGGGCGTCAACTTCATGTTGATCTCGTTATCGACCATAGAGAAGGTCTGAGAGACTGAAGCGGCAACAAAGGAGGCAATGACGAAGAGGGACTTGAATTGCATAGCGAAAGTAGATAGTTGTAACGAAAACCTCTTGCTCACTTATATACAGCAGTCGGAGTCAGCCTTGGCTGTCACAGAGGGAAAGTACGGTTATTGCAATGATCCACCTTCGCTTCTAGCTTGAACGAAGATACAATGGTAATAGCTAGGTCGATTTCGAAGCTCATCGAATTATTCGATCATTGAACCTTGCCTCTCGTACAGTATTGCAAACATCGATAACCCTGTTCGCTGAAGCAGCCACGAATTATCCGAAACATGGTCCAAGGCGCAGGGGTAGAAGCACCAGTGTGTAGAGAAGTCGGACTGGCTATTCCAAAATTAAACTGTGCTTAGAGCTGTTCAGGTATTGTCCAGGAAACTCTAAAAGGACTCATTCTCACTACGAGTATCACTTCTGGAGCAGAAGCTGAAGGGTCGCCAGTTTGCATACGCCGGCAAGGAAAAAAGCACGCTAAAAGAGTGAAGAACTCCGGCCAAATTGTGGCCGAAGTCCCGCAAAGCCGATCTTTCTCACAACCTTAGGACTATTGCCTAAACATTGATTTACGAAGATGTGAATCGGCGGTCGCACAACAAAGATGGACCCTTGAGAATTACCTTTATGGCCAATGGACGGACGGATTTCAGTCATCCGAGAATTTCATCTAGCATGCACGTTATCATGCATCGGCAATAGTAACAAGGAAAGACCCCAGAACGTTCAACTTTGCGCCGGCGGCATGGACAGAAGTCGGATTAACTGTATAAAAAGGCACGAGTGTATGTAGTAGATTCACGCAAGTCCCGTAATCCAGTACAGCATGTACAAAACAACATTGGTATCGCTTCCGATTTGCGATTCTCAAGGTTATAACGAACAAGGTTTACTCTTTACAGCTTGATGTGGTTCCTGGGTCTGCAGCGCGATCATTACCCTGGAATGGAACACAACAGTTTAGACGTTTCTAGAAGCAGACAATCAGTTTGCAGCCGCAAAAGATAAGAGTAAATTTACTAACGATCTGGTCATCGAGGCGTTCCGCGTTCACTTCAAGACAATGGGCCGATATAAGTGATAACAGTATAGTTCACACAAGGTGGGACACTGCGAATGGAGCCCAAATACGAAGAAGATTTTG